CCGAAAGAATGCTTGTTTACAGAAAAAGAAGAATAGCATCGAAATTACAATACAATACAGGGTAGGTACTTTACATGAGAATACTATAGATAAGTATATTGGCCAAAATGTTGATAAAATTATGAGGTAACATAAGTTGCAGTACTACCTAATGTCGCGAATTGATGCCTACCCTCAGTTTAGGGACAATGCTGTAACAGACGCTGTGAAGAGACGCATGCACCAGTTTGCGATGGCACTAAAACCTACGAAAATATGTGCAAATTCAAGTATATTTTCACAGACTTTGCTTCCTGAACTGCGTTTATATGTAGTATATGGACCTTTAAGGATAGCCCAGTGCGAGGCAGAACGAAAAGGAGAAGTTTTGACCTTGGCCTATGCTGGAGAATGTTGTACACTGCCAAAAGGAAAGTGCGAGAGAAGTGGTAAGTTTCTTCGTCCACTGAAGATAATTCAGGAGTTTTCTACTAAAAACTAAGCATAGTGACGTAAAATAAGCTGAACTTAGTGTAATGTGCGCTTGGGTGATGATCACATCCAGATTTCATAGATAGTCAAGCTCCAGTAATATGTATGAACTTTTTAGTATAACAGCTGCCTTTTGGTTTGCAGGACCATACTCTATATAGCACATGCGCTTGCATAGTCACATTAAGGGTACGAACCGACCTAATTATGTGATGTTCAATCTTGTTCCCTGGTGAATGCTGAAAAATGGAATTCCGGGACAAAAACTCAAACCAGACACTTATCAACCAGTTTCCTTCGATTGATAACTGATGACTTAGCTCAAACAAGTTTGCCTAGTGGTTGCTCAGTGGACCTCTTGCTATCAAACCCTAAACAACTTTATACATTTTTTATAAATACTATATATTAACTACACTTTATGTAGGAAGTGTCTGCGATTCCGACGGTCAAACTCACATTGACGTGTGCCACTTCCAACAGAAACGTTGCGTGATGAACAAATCTATCAAGAAATCCCTCACAGTTGTCCACTCTGGTAAAAAAATAATCACAATCAAATTCACTCCATTTGGCTTTGTTCCAAAAACAAAAATTAATCGGCTTTGCAGGAGAATGTTGCACTATCGAGGCTTGTCATAAGGGGGATTCAGCTCCGGTATGTGACACGCACGGCGGCACTCATGCAACCAAATGTCACTTTCAAAATACAAAATGCATTCACGATAAAATGCATCCGGATAATCCGATCAATCTGGATTATACCGGTGGGTTTCTTAAGAAATTGTTAAGTTTTTTATAGCCACTGAGTTCTCAAGATGCCGCGGATCTAGTTGGAAAGCTTGTGT